TAAGGCGTCCCCTTTTTGTTGTGAGTGCTGGCAGTAAATTATATTTCGAATCGTAAACTTGCTCGGACTTGTCGAGTTTTGTTTGTAAACATTTTCTCGAGTGCCCGCCTCGGGCCGCACGTGCGGATCAGCCTAGGCGCACGTGGTGGCCAGCCTTGCTGCACGCGCGGTCAGTCTAGGCTGTTTTGTTTGAAATTCATGGGGCTGCTTCAATCCCGAACAGAGTTATATTTCAATATTTTCTTTTTTATATTGAAAAGTACAGGCCATATTACGTAATCTGAAATACGAAAAAAGTATTTTCCACTTTCCTGTCAACGGTATAATAAAAAAAAAGAAAAATTAAGAAAAGAATATAGTTAAAACGGATTAAATTATACAACAGGGAGCTATGCTAAAATAGAACAAAGCACAGACTCATTAAATAGTGCATTAATAAAAAATAATTAAATTCTCTTTGGAAGGGGATAACACTATTAATGAGTATTTCAGGTGATTCTATTTTTTTTTTATCAAAGTAGCTTCGTGCAGTAATTGTGTGTCTCTTCGTTTAACCTTGCAAAATTTTCTTCAAAGAACCAAAAAGAGACGGATTTTTATTATTTGTTATAATTGATCTAGAATATGGCATTTTGACTCAGACAATAGCTTCTTTAAGATTGACTAACTCCTCGAGAGCCGATGGTTCTAATATTTCTTCATCTTTGGTGCTGAGTAGCGAATTAAAATACATGTCCAATTTTTTACTATTTCTGGAAATTGGTTTATCGTTCAAGTAGTTCATGCGTTTGCGCTGCAGCTCAGAATCTAACCACTGGCTAGAGATACTTGTATTTGCGGGTCTGTAGGTCAGAATTTTCGTTACACTCCAGACTAAGCATATGGTGCCTGCCAGAAAGAGGCCATAAATTGCGATCTCTTGCATAATTGGTAGAATATTGAGGTAAAAGAAGAACTTAGTATTTAAATAATCTGGTAACTCATACATTCCCTGTAACATTAGATTCAATCATATCGTTAAATTTTCATATGCATTATTTTCTTTAAATAATCACTTTATTAATTTTCATTAATGCTCAGAATAATTTTCCAAGAAAAATCATAAATATTCAATCTAATATTGTTTTATATACTTATATTCATTTTTTGGAATAATTAATAATATTTTATATAAATTTTGAATAAATCTTTATCAATAATTATCGAATTACATTATAATAAAATTATGATTCTGAGTTAATGAATTATACTATATATTGATATAAAAACTACTACTACTATTAATGCCAACAACAACAATAATAACGACAATAATAATAATAATAATAATAATAATAATAATAATAATAATAATAATAACAATAATAATAATAACAGCAATAGTATTAATGACATAATATTAAATTTTAAGCTTATTTAATGTTCTACATTAAATATTATTGTGATTACTATCTATAAAATTTAATAATGCAATAATTTGAATTGCTAAGTAAAACCAAACATTTGTATTGACAATAAACTTACAATTTCAAACCATAGTAAAGGGAGAACCAAATTCGAAAAACCATCTACATTCTCTATTGAACTTATATCTTGTAGAGCCATATTTATTTGAAAGCGGAAAGCAAGATCTACAGGAATACCAGATTTTGGCTGGATGTAGAAGTAAGATTCATGTTCCTTTGGATTGGGGTTCAGACCCTCTACTGCATTGAGGAGCGTTGGATCCGATTCAAAAAAGTGTGGATACGAAAGAGCAATTGGAAAACCTACAATTACGTTGACAAATGAAAATTTGTTTACATCATAAATAATTTCAATAACATATTATTGTTTTTTCCATTTAAGATTGTAAATATCAATGTTTCAAATTTTCTAATGAAACAATTAACAAATAATTTCCAAGTGCAAACAAATTCTACATCAAATTAAAAGCATTTTTGAGGTATATTTGAATGTTATTAAAATCAAATGTATAACTTTAAAAATAAAAATGAATAAAAACATGTGACAGAAAGCACTTCATATAATAATTAATTATAATTACATATTTATCAAATTTTTAAATGTTTATCTAATAGTTTTTTAATATTATATATCGTGCATATATATATATATATATATATATATATTTTTTTTTTTTTATATAGAAATTATAATGTTCTTCAGGTAATAGCCAATTTCAAATATTTGTCAATAATGATATATATGTGAAAAAAATTTGTATAGTTACTTGTTATTACATATAAATACTGACCATAATAGCAGTCAGTGACATCAACGAGTCCATAAGGTAAACAAAAGTCTTGTCTGCAAAAGCATTTATTCTCCGGATTTATTTGTCCGTTATCTAATTCGTGATCCCTAAATTTGTATTTGTATGAATACAGCCCTTTTACAACTTTTTCACCAGTACGAACCTAAATAAAATAAAATATATCATCAAACCAATTGATCGATGTTTTACAATGATTTAATAACTAAAATAAAATATTGTTTTAAACATATTTAATGGAATAACGTGTAAGCATCTAACCAAATTTTTCCTTTGAAATTATTCATTGTATTTTATGGATTAGATGTAATTTTTTGAATTATAATTATAATATTTAATTCTTTAAAACAGAAAATTAAATTTACATTTTACCATTATTGCGCTGCGACAGAGACTTTTTCTGAAAAACTTCAAAGTCTGATTTGGTTCTATATAACTTTGAAATTTGGCACCATCGCTCGCACCTTGTACATTTGCACATTCTCCAGGCCATTGTGGTAGAGTTTCAGCTCCATTGTATTTGTCAATCAAGCCTGTTAATCGGGCATCGGTTTCACCAGTATAAACTGTTTCAATGTCTCCTTTAAAATCATACATCTAAAAAGACCAATAAATTTTATGATTCTTATACTATTTAATGCCTATTTATTACTTATCTTTCGTACTTATTTTGTATATACATATATATATATATATATATATATATATATATATATATATATATATTTGATTTAAATAAATGCTTAAACAATAGTTTTTTTATCTATTATTATTATTATCATTATTATTATATATCATTACTATTATCTTATTTAGTATTATTAATATCAGTAAATTATATTTATTTAATTTATTTATTACATTTAATTTGATATAGGGAATTATCAGTCGAATATATATTTTATAGTTGACAGTACTTGGGAAAATTCATCATATTTTTCATGTACTATAAAAAAAAGTGAATTATATAGTTTATATAAATTAATAAAAAATTTTATTGATAGGTAAAATAAATTATAATAATTATTTATATTTTTAATAAAAAAAATTCTAAACGAGATTATTCTTATAATTGTCTCACGAATTCACTATATGTTACAAATTTTTTATAAGTATTTTTATATATATTTTATATTTTTTGAAGTTTTACTCAATTTACAATTTTTTAGTGTTTCCTGTATTAAAAAATTATTCAATTTCTTATATCAATCTACTATTGTTAATAATATTATTTATTAATATAATACTACATTAAATGATAAAGATACTTTTATCTATAAATATTTAATGACATAAGTAATACATTCAACTAGTAGGGAATAGAAATAATATACATAGTAAATTATATAGAAACATATAGTTTTCGATAGGAAAGAGAATTTAGACAATTTACCCTGTCGATGAGTCCCAAACGATCGAATTTGATCCAACTGGGCATAACGTTGTTACCAAGAGTAACAAGGGTTGATTTATAACCGAACATGAATTCCTTGGCTGTCATATGTACTAGGGGTTTCGAATCCGTTTGCCGAATTAGTACATTTAAGCCCCAGCGTGTTATCATCGATGCATCTTTGATAACATTAGCGATACTCTACAAAAATGTTTAAAAAAAAATTGTTTATTATTATTATTATTATTATCATAAGTATTATTATCATTTTCATTATCATCATCATCATTATCAACATCATCATTATTACTAATTTCAGAATATTTTTATATTATGATTAAACATTAACTACCTTATAAGCTAAGTATCTTAAATACCGTCCTCTTAACTCGCTGTTTTTGCTAGGAATGAATGTAAAGCCTATTAGCCAGAGTAATTATAACTCAAGCCATCTACACTAAGTATTAAAGTTTAATAATAGAATAGTTGCAAATTATATACTCATTTTATTATCTGGATTATTAATATTTTCGTATTTTTAAATTATTCGTATAAAATATAAATGAATAATTAATTGCACAATAAGGTCGAATGATTTAAATAAAATTCAAAACTATACATATAGCTTCATAAAGTTGTCTATACTGAGTAATGAATTTTAACCATAAGACTAAGATATTTGCAGTACGTAAGAACCATTAAGAAAACGTCATTATCAATCAATTGTTTGCAAATCCGCGAAATTTACCTCAGTAACCGCGATGTCGCTTTACATGCACACACATGCAAATGCCATCATATTCCCGAATACAACGTGGATTCATCTGCGCAATATAAGTGCGCGACAAATAAAATAAACGGTCGAGTTATGAGCCGATGTGATTCTCTAACCAATTTTGTGCGAACAGCACTTTCTCGCTTGAACGCCTTACCAAGTCTAAACTTTCATCCCATTAGCGGCGACCGGCATTACGTAAGGGTTGGTAGTATTCCAGCGTCAATCGCCGCAACCCACTCCTTGCGAGCACTTCGTTGTCGTTTTCACCGTGAGTTCAAGAACTCAATGAATGGCAAATTATGCATTACGTAGCTACTTCTCGATATGGCTTTCTTAGGACTTGTTGTCCGCTCATAAAGCTACAGTAAGAATTGAGCAAGTACACTTTTTAGCGGCCGTCTCGATTTAATTGGACAATGCCACTTTAAGGCCTACTGAACTATGCGCTCGTCGTTATGAAATATTGCGTTATGATCGATGTATATTTTCTTTATTAATAAGTGCCACATTATGTTGGAATACCTTTATTTTTAATTGTTTCAAGCTCAGGACTACTATTTCCGAAAGTATTCAATTTCTTCGGTTGTTGCAATAAATGCTCGTTATTTGGAAAGTTAAAAGCCATCTTCTTATCTTCTATCATATTATAATTTGGGACTTGCGTCTTCCTTTATCTTATCATTTCATATTATCTCTGCTTTTTGACATCATATAATCTCTGCGCATAATTATTTTAATTAGGAAAGCTTTTAATGATTCACAACATTTGCGTTTATGCAACAATAATTTAACAATTCGCTTATATTAGGGAAATGATTTGTATACTAAGCCTATTCATGTTGGTGTAATGTCCAGTTGATACTCTTGGGTGGACATGGCTCTTATTTTAACATCTATACTTGATAATTTGTATACTTCTGTTATTACACCTAGTTAGGGAGAGACTTTTTCAAGCGTTTATAATGCCAATTTCATGAGTCGCGTTTAGTCGATTTTGTATTCTATAAATTTCATATTACTTTTTGTTACAAAATATAAAAGGCAGCTGTGTCTGGGATTATTATCAATGTTATTTTCATACTTAATCTTTTTTATTAATTCCATGTTATAATTCATGCTACAAAAATAAAAATAGCATTTATCTTAATTAAACTCTATTTTTATCATAGTATTATTCTTCTTGATATTAAAAAATGTAGATCATTTTTTTTAACTATAAAAAATCAATTTTATCTTTAGTAATTATAGGAATTTCAAATTAGTCATTTTATTTTACAAATTACTTTTAATAATTGTTTCCAGTAAAAAAATTTTCCAATAAAAAATATCAACAAACCATTAAATATTCTTTCTATCATTGTTTTTTAAACTTGGCTAGTTAAAATTATATATATATTTACGTTGTTAATTACTATAATTAAACATAATAGATATCTTATATAGATAGCTATCTATATACCTAAAGTTATGTAAGATTTTATGAAAATTTATTAGGGATGCGATTAATATTTTATAATATACGTTTAGTTATTTCATAAGTGAATTTATATCATTATGGTAACATATTAGTAATTGCTCGAGTACATTTACTACATAATAAGATTAAACGTATTTCAGACATTTTATGAATGTAATAAAAATAAGAAAACACTATATTCATAAAAATCTAAGTTTCATATTTCATAGAAATTATATATCGAGATTATTTATGATCTATGATATAAAAATTTAATATTGTAATTAATTTAAGTAATAGTATAATTTTTTATCGTTTATGTTGTCTTTTATGGTGTAATATAATTTGTAAAATTACAAAATATATAATTAAAAATTTATTAGCATATAGAAAACTTGTCTATATTTAAAAAAGTTGATAATAAATGTTAATAAAAGAATTTTTATATATTTTATATTTATTTTAAAAATATAAAATATGAAATTATTATTTGTTTTACATAAATTTTTCATATAAATTTTGAGGAACATATTCAATTTTATACAAAAAGAAAATAAGTTTACTTTCATCATATTAATATGATAAGTAAACGAATTATTTTACACATTGATTATAGATGACTATTCATATTACGAAATAATTTGGAGTCATTCCTTATGAGAATCATGAAATTTATTATATTTAGAAAAAAAAACATAAAAATTTACTCTTTATTTAATAGTGAGTTACTTATTGATTATGTCAAATGATCGTTCACACCCAATAAGTATTAAATAAACGTACTAATAGATCTTAAAAATATCTTTTAAGAAACGAATATTTTATACAAATATTCGATTGTACTCTGAACGAAATCTGATTTTCTTTTTAAGAGTATTTTACGTAAATTTTATAAAGAATATAAAATATTAATATATTTTCTTATCTATATAATTGTAATACCAATATCGAATTAATGAAAACATCTGTTACAATAATTTGATTATCGACTCATTCTGTTATAATAAAATTAGTATATAGAGAAACAAATTAAAATATATTAATTAGTGTTTAATTACAAAAGCTTTTTTGTATATATATTATAATTATAATTAATAACTTACTGAAATTATACTTCATTTTCATTTCAATTATTGCATTTTGTTATATCAAATTTATATTACGTAATTTAAATTCCATTAGATAGTTGAATGCATCTTTCAAAAAAAAATTATTGTTAATGTTTAAAACCAGCATTTTCATGATCGAGTTTTCTTATGATAATTTATTGATGTATTTTTAGTGTTTATCAATGGCAGTAATATTTAAAGATTGAATTATAGATTTAAATACCTGTTATAATATTTCAAAAAAGAGATACACTAACAAATCGTATGACAAATCAAATCTTATAAAACGTTAAAAAACATAGGAAAGCTAATGACGGTACTGCTAATAATATATTAGCAATAAAATAGAACAACAATTAAGATGGATATTATTCAATGAGCCTTAAATAAAATGTGAAAAGAATGCAAATCAGGGTTTAATTCCAATTATTAAACTAAATACTTAAAAAAATTATGTACATATGAATTCGATTTGAAAATTTTAACGATAATATTTTTAATTGAATGTTTTATTCTGTTCATCGTTAATTAAAAAAATAAAAAAATAAAAAAAAATAAAGAAAGTAAAGTCGACTGACCCAAGATAATAAATAAATCAAAATTATTTAATAGTTCTTCGACATACTAAATTTATGGTTATGCATTTGTTTTATATTATTATGTATCGAATTGCAGAAAGTAACGTTATTATGTTGAATGAATACCTATTAATAGTTTTAAAAATTAAATTTAGTATATCTATTCTATCTTAGAAAAATAAAAATAAGTAACTTATTAAAACTCTTTTTTGTGCTTTAAATTGATCGTAAATCTATATTAATAATTCTGTGTGTATAATTTTTTTTGTGTATTGAAACGTTTTAAAAATGTCATTGCAGTCGTAAGTATTTTTAAGCGCACATTTAATTGCATCTCATTGAATTCCAATAAAATATTGACTTTTTATATATTAGTGAATAGATTATTAAGGTTAGAATATATGGTAGCACCAGCTTTTAAAATTCATTATATTCTTCTTAGATAATTAATAATAAAATTATTTTTTTAAATCTAACTTTTATAAATATAATTATAAATATCCTTACATGAATATTATTTGTATTATTATTATTATATTGTATTTTTTTAAATACACTACTTCATATATTTGAAGGAAGTTTTCTTTCTGTTGATCGTAGTTATAATGTTATATATTTTGTACATTATTTTTAAATATAAATTATTTTTATATATACATGTATAAAAATATTTTAATTTAAAAAATAAAACAATAGTGACGTAAGAAAGTTAAAGTTAGTTTAAAGATGATATAATATGATAATTGTTATTTATAAGCTACATGATCTGATAGAGATACTTAGAATTAATTATAAGAATGATATTGTAAAATTTAAATAGATTATAGGTTACTAAATAATTTTAATAATTTTTCTTTATAATGTAGTAATTTCTGTCTAATTATATAATATATAAAAAATGTTCATTAATTTTTAAGAAATAATGTATTTTAAATGAAATGTTGAAATAATATATTTTAATAATATCCTAATCGAATATTATTCTTTGCACTTATTTCCAAGAAATATCATTCTTTATTGATCGAGTAATTTTTCTTATACATATGCAATAAATTTCTAATATTTTATAAAATTATTTTACAATTTACTGCAATCTATTACTAATGCATGAAAGTTTCACTGTTATATGCTTTGTTAATCACATATAATGCATAATTAATCATTAGGAATATATTATAGATATTCTTTATAGAAAAAATCAAGTCGTATATATAATTTGAAGCTTTCATACTGACACATAAATTGAATTATTATATAATAAACTTAATTCTTTTATTAAA